CTCGGGTCATTGTTACAACCATTTTGTCTGTCCTGAGCTACCATATAACTGTAACTTATGTAATGTCTGGTTTTGTATAATCTCATTAGAATTGTTTTAACTGTAGCTTGCCTTGTGTAACATCCAGTGGAGTTGTCCAGTCATTCAAGGTTCTAGTAAGGATTCCAGTTCTTCAGTGTTTCAAATGTGACAAGTTAGAACAAGGGTAGTTTAAGTAGCGTAAAAGAAACAGTATTTTCAGCTCAATGCTCACTAGTACACTTACATGACACGAGTCTTTGTGTCGTTAGGTAGGGGGTACTATTGCAAAGCTGGACTGTTTGAGAAAAGTATTAATATTCTAATTGTCATTAAATTTTAAAAATGCACTGTTTTTAGTGTCCACATGAGAGACAGTTCTTACTGTCATTACTTTTTTTAAAAATTGACTATTTTTAATACCTATAACTTATACTAGTAATTAATTATATTTTAAAATTAGGCTTCTTAGTTCCATATAATTGACAAACCTTATGATACATTAGGCTTAACAGAACTGACTTTTCATAATACTCTTATGGGTGACTAACCATTCTTTACATTTTAAACATCAAATCTTTTCCCAGTCATTGTGAAGGCTTCTAATAAAACTGGGTTACAATACCTGTAGTGAGTACAACACAGGTAGTACATTGTTTAACTTTGCACTTAATAAGAAACAAATACTTAAAAGAACTGACTGTTAGTTGTGCCCACGTGACTGACCATAGTAGTTGTTGCCTTTTAAACATCAAAATATTGGAGGTGACATAAAACATGTTCTATTAACATGTTAACTGATGGGTGACATAAAACATGCTTTATCAAAGCTTTATATCATTTATCAGATAATGTGTGGAGATTTATATCATGCATCAGATAATGTGTGGAGATTTATATCATGCATCAGATAATGTGTGGAGCTTTATATCATTTATCAGATAATGTGTGGAGATTTATATCATGCATCAGATAATGTGTGGAGCTTTATATCATGCATCGGCCAACATGGTAATAAAACGTTTTACATCACCCATCAGTTAACATGTTAAAAAAGTATGTTTTATGTCACCCATCAATTAATGTGTTAATGAAGCATGTTTTACATCACCCATCAGTTAACATGTTAAAAAAGTATGTTTTATGTCACCCATCAATTAATGTGTTAATGAAGCATGTTTTACATCACCCATCAGTTAACATGTTAAAAAAGTATGTTTTATGTCACCCATCAATTAATGCGTTAATAAAGCATAGTTTACATCACCCATCAGTTAACATGTTAATAGAACCCATCAGTTAATGTACCACACATTATCTTTATATCATGCATCATACATTTTACTGACATATTGAGTGACGAATACTTAGAAAAATGTTTCTTTACTGTGTTGGGTACCTGAAAATGAAGGATCACTTTTAATAGAAAACAGATATACAGAAGCTTGCCTTGTTTAACTGTTTAATGAAGTTATTTATTATTTAAGGGAAAATCCTGGTCATTAGCATGTTACATAGCGTAATATAAATGGCAAAATTGTACTGCTATAACTAAACTGTTGTAGGGCACGAGATTTTGTTTGTTTGGTATAGATTAGTACAAAACCAAGACAGTTAAGGTGAGCAACATGAGACTTTGTTTCTGTGGTATAGATTAGTACATAACCAAGACAGTTAAGGTGAGCAACAGAAGACTTTGTTTCTGTGGTATAGATTAGTACAAAACCAAGACAGTTAAGGTGAGCAACATGAGATTTTGTTTCTATGGTATAGATTAGTACAAAACCAAGACAGTTTAGGTGAGCAACAGAAGACAAATTCCTCTTGCCAAATAATTTGGTTTGTTAATTTTTCTAAAATAAGATGTATTTTCCAAACTAATTAAGGCATCTTGACCAAGTATGTTTGTAGATTTTGGCTTGGTTGTTGTTTAGAGACAACTTGCTTGAAAAGCTGCTAGGTTATAAAGTTTTTGAAGCCAGAAGGATAGAACTGAGCATGTGGTTCATTTATTACATAATCCTCTAGTTTCTAAGTAATTAGATTTGAATAACAAAGAGTAAGAACAGTATGAAGTAATTACTCACATTAGAACTGTTGTCATGTTTCATACTTATAAATCATGTTTGAAAGTATAAGTTTTTTTATTATTCATTTTGCTTTGTAATTATAGCAAGAAGTTCAAATGTTCTTAATAGCTTATCATAAAGTTACTGTACAGTATAAATATTAAATACAGTAAGTGTATTTTTTTTATCAGATATAACCTGGTACTCAGTTGGAAAACATCGACCTAAAAATCATTACATGTGAGATAATTTAGATTCTAATTTATCATGTATTTATAAGATTTTAAAACCAAAGATACTGTTTGTACTGCCATAATAATGAAAACATGTTACAGATATGTTTCGTGCTGTCTCTACAGTTTTTATTATTTTTGTGCTCCTTACTTGAAGTGGATACACGAACATGTGATGACAGGTTCCAATTTAGTCATAAAAGGTTTTTTTTTTATTCAGTTCTCCTGTAATCCTGCATGCACTATATGGTTCACCTTGTTCTGTAATTCAGTTCTCCTGTAATCCTGTATGCACTATATGGTTCACCTTGTTCTGTAATTCAGTTCTCCTGTAATCCTGTATGCACTATATGATTCACCTTGTTCTGTAATTCAGTTCTCCTGTAATCCTGCATGCACTATATGGTTCACCTTGTTCTGTAATTCAGTTCTCCTGTAATCCTGCATGCACTATATGGTTCACCTTGTTCTGTAATTCAGTTCTCCTGTAATCCTGCATGCACTATATGGTTCACCTTGTTCTGTAATTCAGTTCTCCTGTAATCCTGCATGCACTATATGGTTCACCTTGTTCTGTAATTCAGTTCTCCTGTAATCCTGTATGCACTATATGGTTCACCTTGTTCTGTAATCCTGTATGCACTATATGGTTCACCTTGTTCTGTAATTCAGTTCTCCTGTAATCCTGTATGCACTATATGGTTCATCTTGTTCTGTAATTCAGTTCTTCTGTAATCCTGTATGCACTATATGATTCACCTTGTTCTGTAATTCAGTTCTCCTGTAATCTTGTATGCACTATATGATTC